CAAAAGACACGCGGCACGGATCAAGTTTAGTGACCTTTTACAATAAAAATAAGGTTTTGTATATACCGTTTGTGAGTCACTGGTGAACCGGCCTGGCATTGCTGCTGTGGAGAGGTGGCCTTTGTAAAGAGGTTAAAGTAAGGGTGGTACCCGTAGAAGAGAAGTGATCGTTCGTGGAGGTTCGACTGCACTTGTAATGACTACAATATTAAGGGATTTCAAAGGTAAATTACATACCATTGTAGCGCAGAATGTGTTTCATTGATTTAATATCCACAACCTGCAAAGTTAGCAAATTTACAAATAAAATGCAGTGTCGTGATTTTCGCGCCGTTATTTAGCAATAATAATTTTCCAAAATGCTGCATTTGTAAGGTTGCGAGGTTTGGTAAGAAAAATATACCTTGCTATCTTGTCTAGTATCATAGGCGGCTCAAAATATATATTAATAATTGAACAAGCACCACGTGCTATTTATCAGCCAACATGAAAACTCCTTCTTTCAGAAACAAGATACATGTACTATGTTTGTAAGCACACGAAGAGACTTCACTATCTCCTAAGCTGGTTTGTGGCTCCTTTATTTCCATTGATGCAAATGTCAAATGCGAACAATGCCTGACATGTACACTCTAGAGATTGGTAGACACTACGGGACATGTTGTGAGGATGTAAAGTTGTATGCATGGGAAGCACATTGCAGGGACAGTTTGCAAGCTGGTGCACACGAAGAGGATATTGGTTCATTTCTATGTTGTTGTGGGGACAGTTTGCAAGAGTAGTGCACACGATGCGGCATCGAAAACTGAGGTTATTTTGTCCCTGCTTCGTGGCGCGCTAATTTAAACCAGCTGAATTTTATGCAACATGTTGCAGGGAGAAATTCTGTCCACGTAAAAGTATTTTTTCGCAAAAACGGGTACGTCACGCGAGGGAAACTGTCACTGCAATATTTCCCCACTTCATGTCCCCATAAGTTGATGGCATGGTGATGATATAGAGCTAGCCCTGCAGTTACCTTTCCTTGATCCCGACGGAATATCATGGCTCTTGGAGCAAGCTGATATGAATACGATAGTCCATGTTTCTTCACAAATTCAGGGTAACCACTTAGATTATAAATCTAATGAGACAAAACAAAGAATAAAATTAATCAGTACACTACATCTTTGATCTTGAAAATTTTAGCTGTAGTTGTTCAAGTACTGTGTCTTGGTTCATGACTGCCTCTTTGGCATTTTCTTGTCTGAGCATATTATAACATGGATCTTTCTTCAATTTCAAAGCAAATTTTGGTATATTGCAAAAAAACGACCTTGAACTTCAAGTGATGAGGAGTCTGGGAGAAAGTTACAACCAAGATACCTGAAGGCAATAAACACAGGTAACTATCAGAACCTTGTTTAGGGACGTTTGCGCAAAATTGTTCCACTCGATAGATTTTCTTCAGGCTTCTACTGCGGACAGATAATGAATTACTTGTTTCACAAATAATAATAAAAAAGATTGAATCACGGACTTCGTTTCAGAGATAAAGCGTGTGGAAACTAGTCTGATTTTGAAATATTGCCGCGCGTAAATCAGCGTGGTCTCCAGGGTTTTTAGTTTAAAATATCAAAGATGAATCAACGGAGACAAACTATCTTAGTAATATTTTGTATAAGTGAATCCGTTGCGTTAATAATTCCAAATGTTGCTAACGTTTTCACTTAACCCTTCAAGAGGCATTTGAAACCGCCACACAGATAAACGAAGGGCTGAAAAGAACGGAATTTGATGGTGCATTTTGCTAAAAAAAATTAAAAATTCTAATCGATAGATTTTCTTCATTTCTTCGCTAAACGTGAAAAATCGGTAGAGAAAATGATCCATCAAAAGAAAAATAGGGGTCACTGAACGTCCAAGATCGTTAAATCCAGGCAAAGCTATAGCAATGGCCATCTGCCCTATCATTGTTCATTTTATTACTTAGCGCGCTCGATGCATGACGTGGCGTGTGAATTTGCGTGCGCAGTAAGGATGCACAGAAACAATTAGCGCGAACGTCCTCCAACGTTTAAATTGGTCAATTTGATCGATCAAAGCAACATGAAGTTTCCGCACTATTTCTAAATCACTGTTCATTAACTCATTCTTTAGCTAACAATAGAATAAGAAACTCACTTATATGGCCGATTTACACGGCTGAAATATAATATAAGGAACCGAGTTGCATGCACTGCAATGAACACATTAAAAAAAAATTGCATTGCCGTGTTCCACTAAAAAATAGGGTAACTTTCATAAATTCGAACGTTTCGAACTCTTGTTTAAAATTACAAAACTGCAGTCATTAAATCGAAGCCTCCATTCTTTAAATGATGGTGAAGAGGCTGACGCAAATCTTATTGCTGCCATGTTTTGAAGGGATTTGTTGTGCACATTCTCAACTGGGGCAGAACAGAGAAAGTTTCACACGGCACAGACTAGGATTCACTGAGTACTGACGGCACACAGATGGCACGTTCAAGTTCAAGTCCCTCGCTATTTTTTGGCAATCATATCTCAGCCAGTCATACTGTGTCTTGCATGTTTCCTCGATTTTGTCGTATAATTAGTAAATTTGTGAAACAATGTGACCACGAAAAGAACAAAAACACTTGCATTCCGGGTAATGCATTCTGAATGTGAGATTAATTACTTAATTACTTAATTGGCCACTCCCCATTCAAATAAACATAATTAGGTTAAGAATCCCAACTGGCGGGAGGCAGACCAGTTGGCTATTAACAAGCGCAGCCGAGAAGTTGAACTCGCGGCTACCGGAAACAACATCAGCTAGCGGTCAGAACGGGATTTGAACCCAGGACCTTTGGATTTCAAATCCGGCGCTCTAACCAGTCAGCCACGCTGCCTGAGCGTGCTAGGTGTGTGGATGTTATGTCATTGCTTTGTTATGCCCACCTCTTGATAGAAAGGAACATTGTAGGATGGCCAGTAACCTTCACTGAGGATCTCAGTTTGATCTCCACTGACCACCAACCTGTCGGGTATTTTATCATCAAATCGTTGTTTTCATGTAAACACATATTTATCGTAAATAAATAAATAAATAAAATAAATAAATAAATATATAATAAATCAATGAATAACTTTATTTAAGTGTCCGATGTATTACTTTTAGCACTGTTGTGCTAATTGGAATGGAGACACTGTAAATAGATGTAAATAAACAGATATTGCAAAGAGAACATCCCAACTGGTGGGAGGCTGACCAGTTGGCTTTTTACACAACGCGGTCAAGGAGTTAAACTTGGGATTTCCGACAACAAATCCAGAGAACTGTAGGGTGGAGGATTTGAACCAAGGATCCTGACACTCACATTTCTCACACGTAAATACATGTAAGTCACAGCGCTGTTATTAAGTTTTGATTCACATGTAGCATTGATCTTCAAACCCATAGCAAACTTGTTACTCTTTGGGAGAACTGCATCAACAACCGGCAAATTCAGCCAAAGCACCAAGGACTCATGAAACACACTCAGCCATCGCAGGTGTTTAATATTTATTTAATATAAAATTATTGTCCTGTCACTTAGATGTCTTACATGTCAATCATCACTACATACCCTGGAATCTGTTCCACTACCCACAATGCACCCTTGAGTAGGGGTTTCTTCAGTTGAACCTGTTTTAGATCTAGGACCATGTACTGATTGTTGTAAGTACCTATGAACAATCAAAACGAAAACAAGGAGAACTGTGATCAATAATTAATGTTGGAACATCCTCATTACCCCTGACTTTGAATTCTGGCCCACTCAAGTAAGTCATTTCCCCGCATCATCCCCCTACAAAAGAAAAGGTGTTTTTTCAAAGCATTTTACCACACTGGCAAATACAGAACAAGATGACTTCAGCTAAGGGTTGAAATCATACAGGCCACTACACTTCCTTTATTACGCCACACATCCTTTTGTATGAATGTGGAACTGGTAATTCTACGAGCATCACCTACAGTACATACAGTATTGTGCAAAAGTAATGCAAGCGAAATGAGCGAATTTCTTTCTTTGTTCACGCGACGTTTTGATGAAAGTTCGCACAAAAGTGCGAATGAAATTTCATGGCGTATCTGTATTTCATGTTACTTCTCTGGTAGCTAGGTCACTGTTAATTTTGCTGATACCAGTCAAGATCCCTGGGTAGACAAAGAGACACTGAGACCTAATCGAGTATACAGATAGTGTCTTAGGCAAAAACAGCGCACAGTGGTACCAACCTGAGGGTTTGAAACGAGTACAATACAGTACATGTAACCATTAGGCAACTGCACAAACACTACACTGACATAGGAGAATATAATACCTGAGTTGTATTGTTTATAAACATCTGCCCATTCTTCACCATTGTGAGCCATCAGGTTAGCAAGGCGCACTCTGTGCCAGGCTAGAAGGGATTGTGGTGTGACATACTTCAGCAAAGAATTGTTGAACACATTGTTTGTTGTTTGAACCATGATCAAGTCACTGATAAAATAAACAAACTAAGATTAGGCAATATTTTATGTCTCGCATGTTGAGTAGTAAATTAACTGAAAATTTCCAATGTTACCTGTTGGTTGCTTATGTAACAGAACTTGAATTTTGAAATAAAAAAGGGGGAATCCCGGTATCTGTTTAGGAACAGGAGGATCTTCTCCTGCTCCCATAATTCCTTAAATTATCAGCTTTCAGAAATGTCTAACTTTGAATTATTAACTAAATATGTTGTGTAAGAGCAGAAAAATAGGGAGAAAGTTAAGCAAGAGCTCAACAACAATGGATGTATTGCATCAATGTCAATGTTCCGAACTGAAATTTTGTGTTCATTTTGTGTAAGGCGCGTTGCCTATTTACCGAGTGGAGACTAGGTAAAAGTGATGACATGTTGTAAACGAAAAAAAAAAAAACGTGAGCTGGACGTTCGGGTCGAAGAGCAGATGAATATTGTTATAAATTTTGTTGCGTTTATGGAATAAATCGTTCATTTTCAGTCAAGGAACAATTTGATGTGTGTTTCATGATAAAGGCACCCATATTCAGATGACAGGGATTCACTATGTTCCAAGCATGCAGTGTTCTTGAAGCCACATAGTTATTATCTTTCACAAATGCTTAGATATGCTCTTATTTTAAGCCATAATCTTTTACTCTGCAATAGAAATAGGTCTATAATCACTGTATAGAAAAAGGGTGATTGCTGCATTCAAACTAAATGAAAAATTCGTTAGGTTCTGGTAGTCATTTCCGAGAAAATAAAGAGGATTTGTCTCTCGCAAGCCTAGCCGTTTAGCTAGAAAAAGCCACAATTTTGTTTATGTGCGTGTGCTAATCGTGTGTGATATTCTGTGCAGTACGGATGAGCAATGCAGTACAGAAGAATCATCTCAAGTCAGAGCCACGCAGAATTATGTCGCAATTAAATGCCTATATCAATGAATTGCAACGTGAATTTAAAAGTAAATCCAATTTTTCTCATGTTTTAGATCCCACATCTCTTTTTCCATAAATGAACTTATCATTCAATCCTGATCCATCAATCAATGCGTATGTCTTTCATCACTCAGTCAGTTAGTCATTCATGGACCAAGACAAGATCATTCAGTCAGTTAGTCAGTCGCTCAGTTGATCAGTCTGTTGGTCAGTCGATTGATAGGTTAGTCAGTCGTTTGGTCAGTCAGTCCGTGAGGACCGGCCAGCTGGCCCTCAAGGATGGCCGGTCGGTTGGTCCATGTGTCGGCCAGTCAATTGACCAGTCTTGACAGCAGCATGTTTTTACCTGTCCATGATATAAAAGTCATCCAGTGATACCAGATATCCAGCATAACTTGAAAAAGACATCCGTTTCGAACCTGCAGAATGTGGTTCAAAATTACAACATTTGTTATCATGTGAGATATCTTATGATACATTGAATTTAAGGGTCAGCTTCACAGCTCGATGCATGAGCAAGCTACATTGCTACTCTCCAATTTGATTCCATTGTTTAATGAAATAATTGAAAATGAGCCATCGGTCCTGCAGGAAGATTCCTTTGAAAAGTTTGCAGTCAGACACAAAATTGCATAGTAACAGACGTGAAATTTCTCTCTAAAATGCTTCTTAATAAATAATTATAGTTCAAACTTCCATGCACCATTTAATTCCATCAATTTGTTTATGAACCAATCAAGTGTGAGCAGATAACTTGTTACTTGACCAGAACAAACCCTTCAGACCGAATAACAAACTTGATGTTCGATACTATATTCAACATTTTCTGTTTATTTATCCATTATCCATTCCATAAAATCAGGCATCAGTTATTCTGCTTGTGTGATTGCTCAAATGCAAGGTGAAGATATTAGTGAATAGTCAAAAGGAGAGCAAGGAGAGTTTTGAGTGATTTTTCCAAGACACAACAACATAATCAAAGTTTTCATATTACCCATTATATCACTCTTTTTAAAGCTTCAGCTCAGTTTTATTAATTAAATAGTAATTTCAACAAAACTAGACCATACTGGTTTCCATCACTGAAAATTTGTTCATCTGCACTATCCATTTACAAGATCTGATTAACAAATTGACGTCAGTTTTTCAGTGTCTGTTCTGTTATTGATCATGAATTTCGTCATAACATTGTCAAAGTAGCTATGGATCAGCAGACTACTTCAACAATGTTTATTATGACAAAATTCATTGTCAATAACAGGACAGACACATTAAAGCCTGGTGTCAATTTGTTTTTACGATAACAAATGGTCAAATTGTCCACTCTCCTTCATTGACATATGCATAAATTATAAATTAATGCGTCTGTCAGCTTATTGACAATGAAAACTAGCCAATGAGTGCACAAGAATTGCTGCAGCAGTTATTGTTAAATTCATTATTGAACATTTAAAAATACTTAATAAGAAGCTAAACTTGTAATAATTCTAATAATTATTGAATACCTGTACTTGGATCATTGAGATTGAAATAGTAATGTTTATATATCCTCATTGTTGCAGCATACACGAACCAGCTGTAATGCAACAAAACAAAGATTAATATGCAAATGAATGACTGTGTGGTTGCAGACCATTGGCAGACTAGTTGAAATGAACAAATAGGTAAACAAAGAAACAAATGAAGGAACCACAGATAGATAAATTAAATTTTTAAGTTGAGTTGTTGGGTGTGAGATTAAGGGGTTACGCTGAGGTGAAGGTTTTACAGGTAAAACAACAAAATGTGTTACCGGCATCTCTTAGTATATATATGGTTGTACCTTGAATGTCCAGCAAATATATCTTCATATCCTGGAAGAATCTTTATGAGAGCAGAACAATGCCCCATTCGTCCTACCTAGCATTGATGAAAAAAACCCCAGTAATACTGATTAATAATATAACTGTAACACAATCATGACTGTCAGGTAGCTAATTTAGAGTTATGTAATAATGTCTCATTATGAAAAGAATATGTCAATAAAGCAAATAGAAGTTAATTATTATAAATGATAACTTATGATAACCAATCAGCTAATAGTATATTCAGTACCCATGTAAAATATTCAGTATGTGATCTTGGATTTTTTGGTCTGCTTTATAATATTCTCATTCTTAATTCATAATAATTTATTGCACGCCTCCATTTTTTCCATTCTGACTACCATTTCCAATCCTTGCATGATTGCTGTTCCATTTCATGATGCCATTTTGCCAATTCCATTCTTTCAAAAGGGATGTCATGACAACAGAAGGTAAAACGTGACTGCATGCTTCTAACGAGAATTAATGTATATAAAATATACCTTGGTTAAAATCTCATCATCTGTCATCTTGTCCCAATCAGGACGTCCATCAGGGTTGAGGACATCCTTCAGTGTGAGGTAATCACCGACACCATTAAGAAATTGAAAAGCAAACTTTTTCAATACCTAAAAAAGAATAAGAGAGCAAAGTCAAAACATGCAATTCAAACAATATTTACACTTGTCACCAATAAGTTTTCAATCATATCTGCTCAATAAATTTAATATACATGAGATTTAAAAGTCTGTGAGAATCTTTTTACAGACAGTGGAGAAACAGAAACAAAAACCCTCTTAATATTTATTAGTTGCTCAGATTTTAGAAGTACATAATCAGTGCCTGACTTCTGTAGGTGGTGATTTGATTAAATTGATTTAATAATAAAGTGTATTATCGTTTGTTTAACGATGTAGTCACTTGAGATGTAGATTGCGACGTTTCGACTGCTTACTGCTAGTCTTCTTCAGGCGATAAGGTCGACTGATTGCACGGTATCATTTATA